TGACTTGGGGTGTGTATGTGTGTGTGTGTGGGGGGGGTGTTTCAGCTGACAGCAGCATCTCTGCCCGCCAATGGCAGCGCAGCCGGTCTTTGAAACAATTACATCATTGGCAGCCAATGGGAAGCCGGGGAAGAGATGCAGCATTTAGAGGAAGGGAAGGGATGGAGAGAGAGGGAGAAGGAGAGGGAGGGAGGGAGAGAAAGAGAGAGAGAAAGAGAGATATTTGGGATAGATGCCCACAAGCCCCTGTTTTTCTAGCTGAACTTCCTTTGGAGCAATTTAATCAAAGGGAATTTGACCCCCCCTCGCCCCTGGTGGTCCCCCCCCTCCTCCTCCTTTGGGCCTGGGTCAAAGGCAGTTAGGCCCCATGGAGCTGAGACATGACATCATTGTCTCCTCTTTCCCTGGAGAGCTGGGGAGAAATGGAGAGGGTGGGATTGTATGCTTAAGGCTCAGGTGTTGGCCAGCAAGGCAAAACTCATCTTCATGCAAGAAGGTTTCCTATCTAAATCTGTCATTATTATTCATTACCCCAGCCAGGCATCGCCTACAGAGGGGATTTAACCCTTCGCGGAAGAGAGACGGCTTGTTAAAGCGTTCCCCCACGACTCTGACATTTCTTCCTCCTGTTTCTCCCCCCCCCCCCCCCCCGCCCCCCCCCCGCCCCCGCGCTGCCACCGACGCCCTCCCGAAATCCGTCCTTTACCCATTTGCGCCAGGAATACAAAATACAGCAATCATCCCTTGAAATGTTGGTACTGCTTTATAATGCCTGGATAAGGCCGCAGTTGGCATTACTTGCACCCAGTTTAGGTTGCCACGATATAAAAAAAGATGTGGAGACTCTAGAAAGGGTGCAGAGAAGAGCAACCAAGATGATTAGGGGGCTGGAGGCTAAAACATAGGAAGAACGGTTGCAGGAACTGGGCATGTTTAGTTTAACTCAATTCACTCAGCCTTCTGTCCTTCCGAGGTTGGTAAAAAGAGGACCCAGATGGTTGGGGGAAATGTGCTGACTGTAAAACTGCTTAGAGAGGACTGTAAGGCACTATGAAGCGGTATAGAAGTCTAAGTGCTGTTGCTATTAATGAAAAGAAGGAATAGGGATGATATGATAGTCTTGCAATATTTGAGGGGCTGCCAACAAACAAAAGGGGGTCAGCTTATTATCCAAAGCACCAGAAGGCAGGAGAAGAAGCAATGAATGTACACTAAGCAAGGAGAGAAGCAATGTAGAACTAAGGAGTGATTTCCTGACAGTCAGAACAATTAATCAGTGGAACGGTTTGAATCCAGAAGTTCCACCATTGGAGGTTTTAAGAAGAGATTGGACAACCATTTGTCTGAAAATATTATAGGGCACTGTTGGTGAACCTTTTTGGCACCAAGTGCCGAAACAGGAGCGTGCACACACGGGAGAGCACCGGACACTGGAAGAGCTGAGCCTCCGGTTTCCGGCACGCACATGTGCACCAGCCACCCAGTCTTCCAGTTTCTGGCATGCGTGCACATGCAAAGATCAGCTGGCCAGCACACATGCATGTGCCAGAACCCGGAAGGGCAACAGGCGATGGTTGGTGTGCCCAGAGAGATGGCTCTGCGTGCCACTGTCGGCACGCGTACCATTGGTTTGCCATCATGGCTACGGGGTTTCCTTTTTGAGCAGGGAGATTGGACCGAAAGATCTCCAAGGTCCTTTTCCACTCTATTCTGATTGATTGAGCTTGTAGTGCCAATGTCACAAAGTGCGCACATTTTCATCCGCAGTGATTAGGGATGGGTGTAGGGTCTGCCAAGTAGCTTGGACAGTGATAATAATTTGCTCCAAAGCCTTCCAGAGTCCAGGGTGAGTTTAAATTGGCTTGTGCAGTTCCTGGTCTGGTCTAGCATCTTAAAGCAGTGGTCGCCAACCAGTGGGCGGGGACCACTGGTGGTCCACGAGAAAATTTTGGCGGTCCGCAAAGAAATGTCAGCCCCAAAGCAATTAATCCAGGCAGCGGAGGAACACAAGGCTGCACCGCCCACAGGGCCGGCGGGAACACATGGCTTGCGTCGCTTGCATTGCAAACAACACGAGGTAGTGAGGGCAGAGGGGAAAGGGCAGAGTGGTGGGGGGGTTTGCCCCACATGCCTCACCTGGCCACCGGGCTGCTTCTTTCCGCTTCTTTCTTCTTCTGCTTTTGGCTGCACACAAGGAAAGCAGCCAAAGTCTTTCTTTCTCTACCCCAAACTCCGCCAGAAATGAGTCTTTGGGACCCTGCAAGGCCTCCTGCTCCAAGAGGCTGCGCCGGCGTGACAAGTCTCACCAAGATTTATTCCTGGCGGAGTTTGGGGGGAGAGAAAGAAAGACTTTTGCAGCTTCTGCTGCTTTCCTTGCATAAAGCCAAAAGTCTCTCTCTCCTCCCCTGAGAACGGAGCTGGAGATGGTATCCTGCGATTCCCAAATAAAGGATGATCGATCGGTAGGAAAACAGGGTGGGGAATTTTCCTTCAGACTTTTTGGGGGATTTTCCCAGGGTCTCTGTTTCGCTGAGATTTAAAATTATGAGTTTGGTTGTCCCTAAGGTCCAAAAGGTTGGCGACCCCTGTCTTAAAAGACTTCACCACAGTGACCAGAGCAGCAGAAAAAAATAGAAGGGGAAGAATTATGCGATGCTCAGCATTCATTCTCTCTCTCTCTCCCTCCCTCCCTCCCTCCCGGTCTCTTGGCTGCGAGGCTCAACTTCGTGGTTTTTGTTTTTTTTCAGCTGAATGCACTCAATTGACTAGGTAATCGGAGCACCGAGAAACTCGGAAGGGACTTGGCGGTGTCTTGCCTTCCCCCTGTCGGGATGGTGTTAATTTCCCGCGTCTTTGTAAATGTATCCTCGTGCCTATGAAATAAGCGTTTGCGCGCACCTGCCTGTGGCGCAATTTGTTGGCAAACAGGTTGGGAATTTTGTTCTGCGGGCACACAAGAAGTCTGCCCAGTTTGTTGGCTAGGTTGGCTGATTGGTAGGAAGATGGCGAGCCAGGAAACGGTGAGAGAAAGCAGAGCGCCGGGTGGCAAACAGTTAAAACGCTTTCTTTTGAGTGATGTCATCCCCTGCCCAGTTTCTCCTTTTAAACCAGTTGGAAGTTGTGCTGTTGAATTCTTGTTGTACAATAGAAATGGTCCTCCTGAGGTTGTGGGTTTCGAGTTTCAGGACCTGTCCTTCGAGCCAAATATTAGTTTGGCTTATTTCAACAGTGCTAACACCCCCCCCACACACACACACACACCTTCACAGCGTAAGGGTGGCACCCATCTCTAAATCCATGTGCAGTGAAAAACGATGATAACGTTGCGAGCAAAATTCAACTGCAATGATATATTTAAAAAAACAAACACTACAATTCAGAAAAGCTAAAACCACAGAGGCTGTTTTAAAAAGTACCCCTGGCTAGCAGCCGAAAAAGGGGAAAAAAATTTAGGGCAGAAAATGGTGGCTAGACTTTTTTTAGCTGCAGCAAGGCAGAAATGAGGCTTAACTTCAAGATTGGCTGTCAATCAAGACCCCCTCCTCAGATAGGAGCAGGTTCCTGCTTTTTTTATGCACTGGGTTTGCCCCTGGCTCTCCACGATCTGGAGGGGAAGCAGCTGCTGCAATAATTGGTCCAGCAAGGTGGAAGGTGTGTGTGTGTGTGTGTGTGTGTGTGTGTGTGTGTGTCTGTGGTAACCTGCTGGGTTTGCCTGCCGGCAAAGCGTTGGCTATCCTCCATCTCTCTGGAGATGCTCAGACCACATCAGTGTCTCCCCAAATAACCCGCTCCGTGCTTGGAGAAGCAGAAAGGTGATTGCATCCCCGCAGGAGGGTTATGGTGGAGGCAAGGGTGACAGCGGCCTTCGGAAGAGACTGGTCCGAGGCTTCAGCTGCCAGCCACGGGCTCCAAACGTGCACCAATCGTGCCCTGGACAATCGAGCGGATCTCTGCCGCTGAACATCTGCTGCCAACCGGCCATTCGCCGCCCTTGAAACCACTTCAGCAACTCATGTCAGCCAACAGGCCCCGTTTCCTTTTTGGCTGCCTTCCCAGTTTGCTGGGAAGCACGGGCAACCCCGTGGGTGCGAATTCAGGCATCGCTGAACTGAAGGCTGGGAGAAGTGGCACTGTCGGTCTGCTGTTTGTGTTTGCCGCTTTCGATGAGTTTGCGGCCGTGAAAGAGCTCGGCACAACCTGGTTTTCTGCCTCAGAAATTTAAAAAACAAAACGTGGTTTGTATCGGTGAAGTTAAGATGGCATGGTGGTCCCGAGAACAAACCAAGTTACTCGTTACTCTGGTTTTGCCTTTCAAAAATAAATGGGCTGTCTGATCAGGCTGGCTTTGAGGAATCAATCTGCTTGTCCTGTTCTTTTTTTCCTACTCCACCTTTTTAGTTAAAACATCAATCCTTTTTCTTCAAAAGTTTCTATTTGGGGAGGCCACAAAAGTATCGCTTCAGGGTTGGTCCGACTTCAAAGCTCATTTGAGGGTGGTTGGTGATTGACTGAAAAGTCCTGTCAGGGTAATGATGATTTAATAGCTGGCCAAGTGCTTTAATGCTGTAGTGCTGTGATGATGATGATGCAATGGTAGTAATGAGTCAGCAGGATGATTTGATTGCTATTATTTTAAGAGGCTGTATTGTAAGAGAGGTCCTGTTGGTCTCTCACACCTTTTCTCTCTCTTCCTTTCTCTTTCTCCTTCTCTCTCTCTCTCTCTCCCTTTCTCTCCTCTCTTTCTTTCTCTCCCTCTCTTTCTCCTTTTTATCTTCCTCCCTCCCTCCCTCTCTCTCGTGTCCTTCCTGGCTGTAGCTGCTGACTGATTGTTTGACCTCTGCCTAGCACTTGTATGTATGTAGTCTTTGTAGACGAAACCACTATATTTATTATTAGAAACCTCTGTGTGATGTATTTACTCCTGGGTTGTCTCACATAGCCACACTGTACGCACTCTGACAAGTCCCTTATCTTCTTCTTCTTCTTCTTCCTCCCCACAGTTCTCCAAGGAGAAGTACATCCTTGACTCCTCGCCAGAGAAGCTTCACAAGGAGTTGGAAGAAGAGCTGAAACTCAGCAGCTCCGACTTGAGGAGCCATGCCTGGTATCACGGCCGCATCCCCCGGGAGGTGAGACCTTCTGGCCGAGAGCGCAACATGACCAACATGGGATTGGAAGCTGGGTTGATCAAGGGAGAAGAATCAGTTTTTTGGGGGGCTGGAGTCCCTCAGCCTGGGTGTCTTGGATGGGTGGAGGCATGGAGGAACACGTAGTTAACTCTGCAGGATAGGAACATGTACATAAATGACTGCATCGCCTTCTTGTACGGAGAAAATAATTGTGTGAGGAAGGCAAGGTAAAGTAAAAACTCTCTGGAGAGGAAAGGGTCCAGAATGGGGCCCCAGAGGGACCCTCTACATTCTTGGGGCAACCTAGGACGCACCTCAATATTGGAAGCAGGTATCCAGGGACAGGCACTTTTCAATGTTTCCAAAGCCAAAGTAATATGTACCAAATGCTTCTTTTTTCCTGCTTCCTCTCCAGCGCAGGGCCAGGCTTCTTATATCCCCTGCAGATGCTCAGAGGCCATGCTGCAATCTTTGCAGCCATGTCCTGGCACTCGGAAGACTAAATAGTGCTAGCTAGGTTCCTTGGATAAAACCCTAACACTGGATTATTATTGTTGTTGTTATTATTATTATTATTATTATTATTATTATTTTAATTTACTCATTCATTTGTATTTCTAACTATTCATCAAGTTGTTACGTATCTCCCCAAAGCGATTCTGAGCACGTAGGGCAGTTTTCCAAGCAGGGCACAGCAGAGCTCAGCCTCTTCACATCCCCATCTGGATTGATTATTTTATTTATATATATATATATAAAAGCGAAAGACTACTCACGCATCACAAAATCTCCAGAACCGTAAAGCCTACAAACGTGAAATTTGGCACATATCTTCCTTTTGGTTTCTAGGGGCTCGCAAAGAAAGGATTTTTCGAAATGACCATCAGAGCATTTAGAGTATTTCCTATATTATTATTATTAACACGCTCTGATGCTAAGGAGTTCTACTCCCCCTCCCCACCTGAAAAGAAATCTCTTCCAAATGCAAAACACAAGCAGAGGAGAGGAGTTTCAATTTTAGTTTCACAGCAGCAAGCAGCTTTAGTACAGAACAGTTGAGCTAAGCTACGCCCGGGCTCCTTGCTGTCTCCTTGCTCACACAGCAAATACTGTTTCAGTTTCCAAACAACCCTCAACTCTCTCACACACTGACAGGACGCTAGCCAGATGAATACTGATGGATGCTGGTAGGCAGAGGCAGAATTCCCCCCTCCCCCTTATTTTCCTCCCCAAAAACTAAGTCCGACCGCATAGTTTCATAGCGAAGCGTGAGTATCGAGCTAGTTTATTCATATATATATTTTTTTCTCTCCAGGTGTCAGAAAGCCTGGTGCAGAGGAACGGGGATTTTTTGATCCGCGACTCGCTCACCAGCCTGGGTGATTATGTGCTGACTTGCCGCTGGCGGAACGAACCCCTCCACTTCAAGATCAACAAGGTGATGGTGAAATCCGGCGAAGGGCGCACCCACATCCAGTACCTCTTCGAACAGGAGAGTTTCGACAACGTCCCGGCCTTGGTGCGCTTCTACGTCGGGAACCGTAAGCCTATCTCGGAACAGAGCAACGCCATCTTCTACTGCCCCATCAACCGCACCTTCCCGCTGCGCTACCTGGAGGCCAGCTACGCCCTCTCCCACGGGAAGCACAGCAGCTCCCACAGCCACTCGGGCCACAAAGGCGGGCACATCAAAAGGAGGAGCATCACCATGACGGACGGGCTGACCGCCGACAAGATCACCAGGAGCGACGGGTGTCCTACCAGGTAAAAAAAAAATGTCTCGGAAAAAAACTCCGTTCTTGGAGGAGGGCAGTTCCCTTGCGCCCACATCCCAGAAGGGGGAATTGAGCAAATTGCAGGGACGAATCTTCAGTTTTGCAATAGCAATAATAACACTAGCACTTATGTAATGCTTCACAGGGCTTTCCAGCCCTCTCCAAGGGGCTTACAGAGTCAGCCTATCACCCTCTCCCCACAACCATCTGGGTCCTCATTTTACCAACCACGGAAGGCTGAGTCAACCTTGAGCCGGTCAGGATTGAACCCCTGGCAGTGGGCAGAATTAGGCTGCAGTACTGCATTCTGACCACTGTGCCACCACAGCAGGCGAAGGGATGGATGGGTGGGGTGGGATGGGATAGGTATAGCCCTTAGACTTATATACCACTTCACAGTGCTCCACAGCCCTCTCTAAGTGGTTTACAGAGCCAGCCTCTTGCCCCCCAACAATCTGGGTCCTCATTTTATCCACCTTGGAAGGATGGAAGGCTGAGTCAACCTTGAGCCTGATGGGATTCGATCTGCCAAATTGCAGCTGGCAGGCAGCAGAAGTAGCTGCAAGTACTGCACTCTAACCACTGTGCCACCATAGCTCATGAGGTTTACTCCAGCCCCAACTGAAGGGGTTAAGTTTTTCAAGGAAATGGGGTTTTCTAGGTTTCTATATAGCCTTTTTTCCCCCCCCCCCGAAGCTACTTGTCAAAGCTTTGGTTTCATGCATTGGGTTCCCATGCTACTCAGTTCTTTGGGGCATGGGGGATTTTCACCCGTTTGAATTTCTTCCTCCTTTAGCGTCTCCTTGCCGCATCACCGGGACATCATTCGGAACTGCGCCGTCAGCGTGGATCAAATTCAAGACCTCCACTCCCCGATGTCGCCCATCTCCGAGACCCCAGCCACTCCAGCTTATAGCACTGGTAAGAGGGCATTGCCCTAAGGGGGCAAAAACAGTGGGCTGTGTGCATTTATTTAAACCCTGCGCGTATGTTTTTAACAACCATAAAATAAGAGGTTTCAAAGAGTCGAGGGAGTTTCAAAACGTAGTAGCTGTGACTGCGTAATACCCTTCATCAGATTCCTGAATTTTCTGGGTTTGTATCACACATCCAACTACAGGAATCGGCCTCTAACGACAAGATATACGTGCTGTGGACAGCATGATACAACCTCAACCCTTTCATGCTTGTGTTTGTGATCTTGCAGGCAAGAAATTTGGGGGCCTGCAATGTTGCAACACCTGTTTTGTTATTTTCCTCCTGTTGCTCCACCATGCAGAAAGCGGTCCGTCTGACTACAAACACAGCCGGTCAGCTGCGTGCTTGCAAGGATGCTGAACCACAAAGATTCTAGCCGAAGTTCAGGTTTTTTTTTTTTAAAGCTTGTGAGAATGCAGCCTCCAGGTTTGCTCTGACCCAGATAAGCCCCTTGTTTTAAAGACGCAGGCAGAGTATTTCAGCATAAGGGAGAAGAGGGTGATGAAATAAATTGTGATGGCCATCCGCTCTTATGAAGATATAACAATTGTAACTTCATCTTTTTGAAGATTTTTGAAGAGTCCTAATTCTCAGAGCTACTAAGTGTAGTCACCTAGTAGCAATGCCACTGCTAGCTCACATCATCACGGTCACAAAGCCCTGCCCCCTCCCAGGGCAACAATGTGCATTTCAATTTCACATGCATCCACTCCTTTCCAAAACGTTGCACAATGTCGTGCTGAGCCGTTCCTGCAGGTTGAGGGCCTGCAAATATTCAACCTGTGGCACAAACAAACTGTGATGACCCGGGGCGTGGCACAAAAGCAGCACAGTCAGAGAGTCTGGGTCCCCTTATTAGCTCCAACTTTTCCCCCAATGTTCCGGTTACCTTCCGGTCTGGAGAAAAACTCTCCCATGCACCTGCAACAGCCTTTGGCTGCAGATATTCCAATTCAAACATTGTAAACAGAAAACTTTAAACTATAAATCCAACAAGGCAAGATAAGGTAATAAATCTGGCAGGGCCAGATAAGGAGTTCCAGAAGTGAAGTAACACTGCAGTAAATGAAACCAGTTGGGAGGATGCCAGGAACTCAGATAACAGCAGCCAACACTAGGTGAACTCAGTGTTTGTTCCCAAGAACCCCACCTCCCATCTGCCTATTCTTTAAACTCCATCCGCAGGTGTGCCTTGTGAAGGGAATCAGGGCCTTTTCCTCCCTCGTAAGCCATGCAACCCACGTTGCTCTCTTCTCCGTTCTTCCCTGCGTGCCCTAGGATGAAGAGGGGTCTTCCTCTGAATCCCCCTCTCCCTTGTTCTACCTCTTGCCTGCTCTGCTCGGCCTGACTTTGCCCTTCCCCAGTTTCCTCCACAGCCAGCGGAGCCACACCCCCGCTCTCTGTCAGCTGTTCATCTTCCTCCTCAAAGGGGCATGACACAAGCTTTTCTGCTTCCTTTATTTTTTTGCAGTTACTCGCCTCAAACCACAAGCGAGCCAAGCTGGCAACAGTGCCACCCCGTCGTCCCCAGTCATCCGACGCTCTAGCGAGCCGCAGCTATGCCAGGGGAACGGCAGTAAGAGCGAGCTGTCAGACAGCCCCCACTCAACCCCTTCCCACGGATGCTCGAGGGCGTCCCCTTCTCCATCCGCCAGCAGTTACAGCGATCCAGATTCAGGACATTACTGCCAGCTCCATCCGCCATCCCCGGTCCAGTGGGATAGGCCAACGCCTGACAACAAAGTGATGCCAACCAAGAGCTATGTGGAGAGGCTAAAGGGGGACGAATGTCAGCGAGGGTTTGTCCTGAACGGCTCTGAAGGAGAAACAGGGTCCAGAAAGAGGCCGGAGCAGGACATGGTGGGTTTTGTGGTCCCGGTGGTGGAAAGGACATCCTCGTTCAACCCCGCCCTGTTCCACTCCTTGCTTATTCCGGGGGAAAACAAGCCTTTGGAAATGGTGGTGCTGAAGAAGATCAAGGAGCTGCTGGCCGAAGGGGACGCGAGGACTCTCGCCAAACACATCACCCACGTGGATTGCCTGGTACGGGGAGGGGAGGACAGCGGGAGGGTTTTAAGGTTGCTTGATAAGGAATGGGATGCTCCAGCTGGGTCCTTTTCACAGCCAATAACGGTCATATTATTGGTCGCCTCTCCGTGGGGAGATGGTGCGATGTGCACATCAGCAGAAAAGTCCAATTCAGCCCCACTCGGGGGGGGGGGGGGACCCCCGGGAGAAGGGGGCCCACGATCCCAGCAAGAGGGCAAATCTAGGCCAGATAAGAAATAGTTTACCATTATTTTTTAAAGAATCTCTCTTTTGATCTGGTTTGAAGCCAGGTCTCTGTAGTTTTCGTTCAGCCATCTCTCCCAAGCGTTATTTTTTTTTTACTTCAAGCATTGGTTGATGGGAACCGAATCTGTGTTTGGTGGTGTGTTTTTTTTTTGCCCATCTCTTGTCTCCTGGTCTTTTCTTTAATCAGATCCAAGTGTGCTTGGAAAGTAGGTTAGGAATAAAAAAAGGGAAGCTGTAGAGGTTAAGGTCCTGGTTAGAAACTGGGGGTGTTGGGAGTTCCAGTTCTCCCATAGAGCTGGGTGTCTTTGGGTTATTCTCTTTCAGCCCAACTTGTTGGCAAAGCAGAGAAAGATAATTGAGGATTGTCTTTTGGGATCTCTATCTGCCCAGGGTAGATTGCTCCAGATAAATCAATCTTCCAAAAAATGTGGAGGGGATAACCTTTATTGTAGGGTCTCCTTCCCCATTGTGCCCCCCAAAATCAGTTTCATCCCCACCTCATTTTTATTTAGGAAAACAGCGAAGTTTTTTCTTCTTCTGAAGAGCATTTAGCAGGGAGAAGTGTTAATGCTGGACAATAGCACTTGGAGGTGGTTCGGTTCTCTTTTTAGATTTTTATACAGATATTTTTGTTGATTGTGATGGCTTTCTCCGTGTAAGGCTCTCGTGAGTCAAGGGGTGGGGATAATAAATCTGTGATAAAGTCCATTTAAATGTCCTTCTCTCCTTCTCAATCTTCCTGTTGCCGGCAAAGAAACATTAACCGAATCTCCAAGAGATATGAAGGGCGTCAGATTGGAGGGAGATTCATTTAGCAGGATTGTCTCCTGGGGTCTCTGCTTCCCTTAAGACTTTGCAGTGCTAGTGATGTCATTTATTTCGCGTAGCGATGCCTTCTTCAAAGGTTACAAGATGAGACCATGTTTTTAATTGAACCGTGAAACGTTGAGTCATGTGGAGTTTTGTATGATGGGAGAGAGGTGTAAACTTTCCTGACGGAGGAAGACACCCCAAACAGGGGGTGCAATTGCCAAGGTTGCAAAGAGAAAAAAGGAAGGAGCAATTTTTTTTTTTCCCCAGCCTGTCCAATCCACAATTTGTGGCCTGCAAATTTACTTTCAGCACGCAGAAAGACAAAAGGGGCGGGAGTAGAGGCGATAAACCTCAGAAGGATCAGTGCAATTGTGTTGGGGAATCCTTAAAAGTGCATAGAGACTCTGATTTGGGTCAATAGAACAGAGCATGCCTTGCAAAATAAATTTTGATTCCCCCTTTTTTTTTTTCCTGAAGCCATTTTTTTCTCCATACAATTTGACTTGACAGCTCAGGGCGGGTCCTCCTGGCAGTATGAAAAGCATGGAAAGGCGAGATGGGAAAGTGAATGTATCGCAGTCATTAGGACTCCCGTTTTCCACTGTTCTTTGCGGAGGTTTCCCCTTCTCTCCATCCAAGGACCGGGGAGATTAAACCCACTTCATCCTCTTTGTTGCAGGTTGCTAGGATACTGGGGGTTACCAAGGAGATGCAGAGGCTCATGGGAGTCAGCTCGGGGATGGAGCTGCTCACCCTGCCCCACGGACATCAACTTCGGCTGGATTTGTTGGAAAGGTAAGCGCTGACAAAGCAAAAAAAGAGGTGAGAGGCGATGGAGAAGGGAGGGTGGGGCAGATCTGCAAAGTTGGTTGCCGCCTTCTTAGATGGAGAATTTGGCCATTGGAAGGGAGCTTGCTTGCAAGTTTCTAGTCCTCAGTACCTCAAAGCCCTTGAACACATCTCGCGGCACAGAATCCAGCCAAGGCCGCTAACGAAACCTGACGGTGGCTTCTTCCCGTTACGTCTTAGGTTCCACACCATGACCATCATGATCGCGGTGGATATTTTGGGATGCACAGGCAGCATGGAGGAGCGGGCCTCTCTTCTCCACAAGACCATTCAGCTGGCGGCCGAGCTGAAGAGCACCATGGGCAACATGTACAGTTTTGCTGCCGTGATGAACGCGCTGGAAATGACCCAGGTATCTGTCAGGGCCACCAGGGAGGGAAGCTTCACAAGAAGGTGGAAATCTAATGGAGACCCAGAGTAAAAAAATCTGGGAACGTCTTAGAGAAGCTCTGCCTAGTCTTGACTTAAGTCATCATCATTTTTTAATGACCCCGTAATCCCTTGCCGGGTGGAATTTAGGCACCTGAATGGAGCTGAGTGTTTACTGGCTGGATGCCCTTCCTGTTGCCAATACGGAGTTATGTCCGGCAGATATATACTTATCGTGTCCAGAGAGAGAAATCTTTGCCTCTACCTAGGATCAAACTCACAGCCTGCCACCCTCCTCAAATGCCTTCTGCTGGGTTGGACTTTTGCCTCCCCCGGACCAGAGGCATCGTTGTGCCTTGCCAGGTTAGTGTCGCTGACCCCACAAGTGGCTGCTATTTCCCCTTATTCTTTCGCCCTTCAGATCTCCCGCCTGGAGCAAACCTGGACGGTTTTACGCCAGCGTTACACCGAGGGTGCCATTCTGTACGAGAAGAAGCTGAAGCCATTTTTAAAGAGCCTCAATGAAGGAAAAGGTGAGCCGGGCAGCCTTTTGTGTACGGATTTTGCACACAAGCTTGATGAGCGCGTTCCATTTCTTTAAGGAGTTCAAGAATTTATCTGCAAGGAGCAGAAGTTTTACACTTCCTCACTGTGCCTCTTAGTTGTGTCCACGCACATGCATCCCACCCCCCGTTTTTGATTATCAATTAAAGCTTTTGTTTTATAAAATAAGGGCAGCCTTTAATTCACAGTGGAGAAAGTGGGGTGGAAATGCAATTGAGGTATCTTCCAGAGCTCGGTCAGTTGAAATGAAATGATCAGAATCTTCCCTTTTTTTTGTCTAGCAACCAGTGGCTTTAGGAGTCACTAATATAGCCCTTAATTTATAAATTTGGGGGAAAGTTGCAATTGGGAACAATTTAGGAAAAAATAAACATTTGTATCTGAAGAGGAGAATTTGTAGCCTCTTAGATCAATAAGTAAGTAGAAGTTTTAAGAAGATCTCATCCCCATTCTGTCCATCTCTTTAGTTCTGGTTTAAGTATAGCTTTAAAATCCTAATTGGTGTAATTTTAATACTTGTTTTCTACTTGTTTTGTAAGGCGCCCAGAATCCCCTTTATAGGGAAGATGGGTGGCATAAAAATTTAATAAATAAAGGCAGAATGTGCATCCCTCCCCAAAACCTTCTTCAAAGGTTGCCTCCAAGCCAGTATTACAGAGGATCCCTGACCAGGAGGAGACAATCCAAAGAAAGCTAGCACACTGCACCCCGATTTTTTTCATCCCAAAGACCCTCCAAAATTTTGAGAAACAGCTCGCATGGGGGAAGCTGGCCCTGAAGAGCTGCTATGTTGCTTGGACAGACCCATCTCTTTCTCCTTCCAGAAGGACCACCCTTATCTAACACCACCTTCCCTCACATCGTGCCTCTCATTACTCTTCTGGAGAGAGACACGGCACTGCCAGACCACCCTGAACCCTGGGAGAACCTGGATAATGGTGTGGAGGTAGTTATGGCCCACCTGGAGGCAGCGCGCATGGTGGCTCACCATGGGGGACTGTACCACACCAACGCAGAGGTGAAGCTGCAAGGTATGCGATGTGTGGGAGATGCGTGGGAATTCAGACTGCAGGCCGCAGAGGAACAGGGCGCTGAGCAGGTGGAGGGGGAGAACGTAGGGGAGAAATCATAGAAGTGGTAGCTGGGCTCTTTCAAGCAGCCAGAGATAACCTAAACCCTGCGCATTGTTAGAGGAGGAGGAAAAATAACCGAAATGTGGGGCGTTTTGTAGAAAGAGGGAGCGTTGCAAGGTGGACGCTGGAAAGGTTTGGCTTTCGGGGCTGTAAGAAAATGTCTCAAAACCGTAATCATTTCAGTGGGATTTCACAATCGCTAACTTTAATGTGATTTTTATATATTTATGGCCCAAAGTCATCTTGTGGCAAGATGGGTAGCCAACAAATTGAATAAATAACTTTTGATTTTGTAGCTTAGCCTAAAAAAAGGGGTCAATCTGAGAAATAAGAGGGGCATGGCTGCAGCCAGACCCCCAGAGAAGCAGTAAAATAGAGATGCTTCGGGCAGAGAAAAGATTTATAAAAAGTTTGAAAAGGAAAAAAATGTTTGGAAGAGATGCTTGTTAGCCGCTAGAGGGCATCCAGATAGAAGAGCGTCCCGTGGAAATTGCAAATCCTTTCATTAGGAGTTCGATGCTGTTTCCCCATACCTAAAACTACAAAACGGTTTGGTTGTGACTCAGTCTTGGTGTGTAAACTCTAGTTAGTGGGTAGGGTGTGACCTCAGCAGTGACAGTCGAGTCAGGTTATTGCATTGTGTTGTGAGGACACACACACACACACAACCGATCAGCTTAATTAGTGCCATAAGCTCTATTTACAACAAGTTTAGTGTCAAGCCTTCTAATGAACTAACACAGATTTCTTGACTCCCCAACAAACATGGTTGTAAAAGAATATTGTTAACCTTTGGGCCTATTGTTCTTCCATCGATGTTGTTCAGGCTTGAAACCTTTCGAAGGAAATATTGTATTCGGCCAATATGGGCGTTTTATACTACCCAAATCCAGCTTGTGCTAAAGTCTGGGCAGAGAGCCAAGACAGTGAGAGAGGCCAATTCCAACTTTGGAAATACTAAACCATTAATGGCCAAATAAAAAATTCCCCAATTAGCAAGGATGAAAGAAGTTGATTATAGTAAAAAAAGAGAATTTAGATTTACTTAACGGAAAGTTATGATTTATGGACGATGAGGAAGAATTAATCCATGAGTTTGTCACCTTTTGCCCAGCAGATCAAGAGCTGATTTTAAAGAAAATCAGAATAATTAGTTCAATGTTGAAATCGGTAACGAATGCAATAGAAAGTTTGAACACTTGCTCACTTCTAGCTGCCCTTCTGTGGAATTGTTATCAAACTCAGTATCTGAAAGCAAATCCCCAACAAATAAAAAGAGACAGCATGCTAGTTCCAAAGCAAAAAGTAAAGATACTCAGTGGGATATAACAGCGAAAGTCCAAATTAACCATCCAGTACAACCAGATAATAATGATTAGAGTCATTCATTAGTAGGAATGCCAGTCTTAGAACAAATACGGGGGAAATACTAGCAATCAAGATAAAAAGACCAACAATTTACAACTTATGAGGAGGAGTATTGAACTTTACAATAATTGCGCTTACACAGGAAGTATAATCAATATTGATCCAGCTCCCAAAACAAGTTGATATTCGGTAGCCTTATTCCCTAGTCAACCAACCCAAGACAGAATATCTTGCTTTTCAAGAGTCCTATATAAATTATTTCATATACGCTGTCTCCTATATATTCTTGGCATCTCCTGGCATGACAAAGTTCCAAATACTGCAGTCTTGGAACCTGCTGGAATTTCTAGCATGTATATACCATTGAAACAGCGACATCTATGCGGGCTTGGGAATGTTGTAAGGATGGCTGATGGGCGGATTCAGAAAGACCTCCTGTATGGAGAATTAATGCAGGGAAAGCACCCGAGAGACCACAGCTGTGATATATAAGGATACCTGCAAGAGGGATATAAAGGCCTTGGGAATGGACAGGCTGTATCTGTCTTCGGCGTGGAAGGGATTGCCACTCTTGAATTGGCCTTTTTAGCCATACTAGATGCTGTTTTAGGACCTCTTTTCAGAACACGATACCATAGTCTCTTGAGACCGAAGGATGCCAAAGATATAAATTGTGACTTGGAGCATAGCTGACTGGAAGGAAGTGGTTGATAGTGGACTAGTGCGTTTCTTATCTAAATTTGATGTAATAGCCATCCAGGGCTATTTCAGGGATGGACTTCCCCCACCCGAAAAACAAAGAACAAAGGGCAACTGTCTAGTGGACTATGTATTTTTTATCAAGCAAGAATTACATTGGCAGGGGGAGAAACTAAATGATGAAGATCAGTTTTCGTATTTTTTAGCTGTGAAATTTAGATATGAGGAATTTGAATTAATATTGGTAAATGCATACATTCCTCCAAACACATCCCTGACTGTTGGACATGTTTAGAAGTCATACTAGATGATATATCCATAATTATATTGCTTGGAGATTTTAATGCTTAAATTAGGTCCATCTGGGCATGAATTTGCTCAAAAGAATTCCCAAAGGGATTTCTTGATAATCAGAAGATAATCAGGCGCTTTCTAGAGACAACAAAAGTAATATTGTTGGCCTGCTCCTAGTCTCTTTAATTTTCAAAGGTAATCTTCAAATCTTGGGAAGCAAGGATAATACTCTTACCTATATCACTCAGCCCACTCTAGTAGCGTGCTAGATTTCTTGTGTATGAAGAGATAAAGTTGACTTTTTTTCGGAGGTTACTCATACATTTAGGTGATGAAAGTATACAAACAATCTAAACATGTAAACTTGTCTAGTTGGGCAGGATTTAAATTGTATTCTTGTCTCCCTGCAGGGTTCCAACCACAAGTGGAGCTTTTGGAAGTCTTTAGTACTGAATTTCAACTCCGGCTCTTATGGGGGAGTCGGGGGGCCGAAAGCAGCCAGATTGAACGCTATGAGAAGTTTAACAAGGTCCTCACTGCCCTGTCCCACAAATTGGAGCCAGCAGTGCGTTCGAGCGAGTTGTAGCTGGACAACAACGGGGGCAACAAGGTTGCAACCAATGCGCCTGCAGCTTGCCTTCCTGCAGCAGTGGATCTCAAGGAATGGGACTCTTTGACCGAAAGGGAAGCAAGCTGAGCCCCCCCCAAAAGGCCTTTCCAGCATGAAATACTGACAATCACTAGGTTGACTTTGTTCCTGCAAAACTTGACAACGACCAAGTTCCTCCAGACGACCATGGCTGGTCTTGCAAACCATGGAAGAGAATGCACTGGCCAAGCATGTTAGATATCAGCCATGCAGATTCGTATTGAAGATCTGCAGTGTGGTTCAACAAGGGAGGCAAAACTTCAGAGTTAAAATTCAATACTGATTCATAACCAATTTCATGTCTGGGTTTGGTGCCTCACAGTAGGGTTTGAAATCAAAAGTGCCAGAATCTTCTCCCTGGCTCCTTACATTACTTTGAGGTTCCCCTGTTCTCTTCTTCATCACCATGATTGGAGTAGAGTTGTTTCCATCAGCTTTGGGGATCCAGGGGGACTGATCAGGGTTTGTTTAGTTCCCCAAAACCTCAGATGGACCTGGGTGACAAGACACACCCATAGACAGCAAGACAACCCCAAAATTTAGCTTTTCTATTTTCATGGGCATCTTTTATCATCACTAACATTTATTCTACACCCAATTTAACCAATCAACCATAAGCCACCCAGAGCAGCCCCATGACAAGATAGTAAATAAATTTAATAATACATTTAAAAAATCAGGTAAAGTTAAGCCACTGCCATCTTCCTTTCCAGATACCCAAAGCCTCCAATTTCAGTCCTTTCATTGATGCCAAGTTACATTCCTTTATTTTTTTAAAGCCTCTTATTTTTTTGCTTCCCTTCATTTTGGTGCAGGGAATGAGGGTTGTTTTGTAAATTAAAAAAAAATCCATACGGGGTGTATATGTACGTATATATATATATACATATGTATTCAGATCTCATGTGTAAATAATTGACATTGTTCTTTTGGGTCTTGTAAATGAATGTACAGATACAATGGAGTGTGTTTCCTCAATTCTTGCATACAATAAAGTTTTATGCTTTTTTTCTTCAAAAAGGGTTTATGGTGGATTTAAACATGCTTTCTTACTGCTGCATTTGTCTTTTTGAAATGAGCTATAAAATTTATTTAGGAAGAATGGAACAGTGCATTTTTTAAACAAGAACAGATTGGAAAATGCAATTTAGGCACATGGAAAGAATTGTCTCCAATAAGATCAAGGATGGGTTGTTTTATGACTGCATGCCCTGCCTTTTTAGACATCTAAAGACCCTTTATTTATTTTAGACCCTTTTGATGTCCTAAAATTTTTTTTAAAAAAATATTTATCTTTCTTCCCAATCTTGAGTTTAAAAAGAGTAGCCTTCTTTAAACCCAGTGGAGCTGACTTCTGAGTAAACCTACATAGGATGCAACTGGAAAAATGTAAATTTCTTCTCTAAAACCCAAATTTCAATTAGCAATAGCTCAAAAACAGCCATTGCTTCTTTTAAAGAAACAAAACATGCTTTCAAATTCTTTGAAGAAAACCACTTGAAACTTTCAAAAGGCTATCCTTAAAATGTGAAGATTGGTTGATATTAACAAAAGCTTATTTTACCCGAGTAGACCTGCTCAAAATTGGCAAAAAATAGCAAACAACAAGTTTATTTTCCTCCCCACAGAGTGAAATTAACCAGAAAAATCCAAGCCTGAAAGTGACTACAAATTGAAACAAATTTCCAAGGAAGTTGTGAAATTGACTAATGAAGTTGAAATTGACTAATTTCTACTGGAAAATTGACGAATTTCTAATACTAAATTCACCAATTTCTGAACAAAAATCAGAGATGAGTTTTGTTTGGCATTTCTTAGGGCTTCTCTTAATATCATGGTTTGTCTTAATCCTAGCTTATTTTTGGTGCAAGCAGCCCCCCTTTCCTCCATAGCTTTACATTTTCACCAAATTTTCTCTCTTTAGCTTATTTTTCTCTTTCATTTGCTTCTGAATTGCACTTTCAAGCTGATTTTTCATCCATTTCCCCACTATTTCTCCTTCATCTCTAAATAAATCCCACATTTGTCTACATTTTTTTAATCAATTCCTCTCCTCCACCCTCTCATGAAGCCATTTTCGCTTTCAAATTCATTTTTTCTCCAGCCTTTCAACCTCCTGCCTCTTCTAGATTTCAATATTTTCTCAAACTTCTCATATTTTTTCCCCATTTCCCTTGATGTTTCCCCATTTCCCTTCTTAACTATTTTTTACTCCAAACCCGATTTTTCTCTTCTATTGCCCTCCCCTAAAATAAATTTAAAATAATTTTAATTCCCAGCCATCCAAAACTATTATTTTCCCCCCAATTTCCAATTTTTCCTTCAAGCTCCTTTCCCTTCCTTTTTGCTTTAGAACGTATATTTTTAAATTTTAATTTCTTTCCCCCCCCTTCAAGCTTCAGCTTTTTCATATTTATATATTTGTTTCCAGTTTTTAGTTTTTCCCCTCATAAACCATTTTACTCCCGCCCCTTTTTTTGAAAAAACAAAGTGGGACGGTTGGGGAGGCGGAGCCTTAAATACCTCCCCCTGTAAGCCCCGCCCCGCGAAGCCCCGCCCCTTCGCTCAGAGGCCTGGCGGAAGCGGGGAATTTCATTCACTCCCTCTCTTACGAGCCGGGCCGCGGGGCAGGCCGGGAGCGGGGCCGCCGCACGAGGGGCCGCGGGAGCGCGCTTCCCGACCCTCTCGCGGGCGAAAAAACCAGCATGGAGAGGGGCGGGGGCGCCTTCGCGGGAACGCGGCTGACACTGTGGCTGCTGCTGCTGCTGCCTCTGCCGGGGTTGATGCTCTCGGGCGCCCCCTGGGGGCCGAGCTCCTGGCATTGCAGCCTCTCGGCGTCCTGCGAATGCGAATTCTTGCCCGATTTAACCGGTGAGGCTGCAGAAGGGTGCAGTGGTGGGAACGGCCGCTGGGGGGCGCAGGGAGACGAGTTCGAATCCTACGGGGGGAGGGGTTTAGGACATCCAAGTAACAGCCCTGCTAGGTAGGCTGGGATTAATAGAATAGCAACCAATAGAACAACCTTTTTTTATAAAAAAAATCAAGCTTGAAGATTACCATTCTACAATTGCACCTGTCCTACCCTGTAGGGTTGTTGTGATATGCAAAGTGGCTCGATTTATGGGCTCCCTTTGCGGGGTGGGGTTTAAAGCCCAGGACTAGGCAGTAAGGGGAGAAAAGGGGGGGCATTAGGGGCACAGAAATAGCACGAAGAGACATTGGCAGATGCCCTTTGGGACATGCTATACAGATTATATACAGATTAGCAGAGTTGGAAGGGACCGTGTAGGTCATCTAGTCCAACCCCCTGCCCAAGCAGGAGACCCTACACCGGTTTCGGACAAAGGTCAGCCCAGTCTTTTTCTGAAAAGGGAATGCCATGCAGACCTGCCTCGATTTTTTAAGACGAAGGCGAACGCCCTTGGCCTTCTCAACCCCCTTCTTCGTCTTCCCCCCTCCAGGTCTCGAGTGCGAGTTAGCCCTGCGCCTTGTAGGGCAGCCTGTGGCTAGGCAGCTGGTCATCCAAAGCCTGAAGAGCTTCGTGCAGGACCCGGAGCCCGCCAAGCCCCTGGTCCTCTCCTTCCACGGCTCGACGGGCACCGGGAAGACCTACCTGAGCTCCCTGTTGGCCCAGCACCTCTTCCGGACGGGCCTCCGTACCCCTTACGTCCACCGCTTCTCCCCGCTGCTTCACTTCCCCCACGCTGACCACCTCCAGCAATACAAGGTAAACCGAGGCTGAGGGAGTCCATTCCCCCCTCCCCCGAGCCGGCATGCAAACGCTTTCCGTTTTAGCTGCCGGGGGCCGCGGTCACAAAAATGAATCCTTGGCCGTGGGGGGGGGGGGGGGGGAACGGTCACACGGGGCTTCTTTCGGTGCCGTGCTTAGGTTTGAACGGGTCACTAAATGAACCGTGGTAAGCGGAGGAACGACCTGCAGTTGCGAAAAGTTGCAGGTCAAGGGCTGCTTTGATAGGCCCTGCCAATAACTTTGAAGGTGGGACTGGAAGAGAGATCGAACTGCAGGGCAGCTTGCCCTGGGTGTGGATGATGGGATCTGGAGTCCCCCGCTTTGCTTATATCCTGATGGGCAGTGTGAGGGCAAATTTTTTGTTTTTGGAATCCTTTTCCATCATCATCATCATCATCATCTTCTTCTTCTTCTTCTTCTTCTTCTTCTTCTTCTTCTTCTTCTTCTTCTTCTTCTTC